CTTCCTGTACACCAGGCGAGGTAGTTAACATCTCCTAGCCACCGTGATGATTGAGAGAGACAAAAACTCCAAATATACAGCAGGTCGTCAGGATCGAACCCACACCTTCCTGTACACCAGGCGAGCTCGTTAACATCTCCTAACCACCGTGATGATGAGAGACACGCAAACTCCAAATATACAGCAGCAGGCGTTAGGGTCAGGGTCGAACCCACGACTTCCTGTATACCAGGCGAGGTAGTTAACATCTCCTTGCCACCGTGATGATGATGAGAGACAAAAACTCCAAATATACAGCAGGACGTCAAGGTCGAACCCACGACCTCCTGTATACCAGGCCAGCTCGTTAACATCTCCTAACCACCACATGTTCCGTCAGCCCACGCAGTTCACTCCCAAGCGCCACGATCCCCATCCACCTCGAGGCGTGGCGCAGTACAAAGCCAAAGCGTGTGACCGGCTTCGAACCACCACGTGTACTGTATTCGTGCTCATTCACCAAGAATCGATTCTCGCCTATCGACTCTCGAAAAGCGCGATTCGCCTCTGCGGCCGGGCGTGCCGTGAACTTGAGAATCGTAAACTGGGGGAATCGTGTACTTTGAATCGATTCGGAAGCTATGGGGCCTTGGGGTGTGTGTGGGGGGCATGGGCGTGCGCTCGTCCAATGGGAAGAGGGGGGCGTTGTGGAGGGGCGGGGGGGGGGGGCTTGGGGTGGGGGCCGGGCTGGGGGTGTGCGCGCACGGCTCGCGCTGATTGGCTGGCCGCATTGGGAGTAAATCAGCTGGCAAGTTTCCATGCCCAAGGGTTAACCGGCACATTGGGGTCTGTGCCGTGACCTCCGCCTGTCACTTGCCGTGACCTCTTGTCACTTGCCGTGACCTCTGCCTGGCACTTGCCGTGACCTCCGCCTGTCACTTGCCGTGACCTCTGTCACTTGCCGTGACCTCTGTCACTTGCCGTGACCTCTGTCACTTGCCGTGACCTCTTGTCACTTGCCGTGACCTCTTGTCACTTGCCGTGACCTCCGCCTGGCACTTGCCGTGACCTCATCCTGTCACTTGCCGTGACCTCTTGTCACTTGCCGTGACCTCTGTCACTTGCCGTGACCTCCGCCACTTGCCGTGACCTCCGCCTGTCACTTGCCGTGACCTCATCCTGTCACTTGCCGTTACCTCTGTCACTTGCCGTGACCTCCATCTGTCACTTGCCGTGACCTCCATCTGTCACTTGCCGTGACCTCCGCCTGTCACTTGCCGTGACCTCTGACTGTCACTTGAACGTGGCCCTCAAAAGTGCACCTAGCCTGGCACACAATTTTAGATTATTTGGATGATTTTGGCTGGTTCTAAATTTTCCATGCCGTAAGCCACTCTGTTGAGCTATCAATGTGTGGCTTTACTCGGTAAGAGAAAAACATGGTTTTTTTTGTACCATTAAAAAAAAAAGTGATTTGTTTGTATTTCGTATACTTGCACTCCTGTTGTGTTTTTGTATTGTGTTTTTTTTTATAACGGTTTGACCCGTCCCTACTGGACATCTGCGAAAAAGAGCTTGATAGATCATCGGATTCCTCGAGTATAAATACAGAATCTGATATTGGACATCTGTCAATAAGATACTAATAAGTTTTTACCCTTTCAACTGGTACAAAAACTGACACCTTTATACAAGGCATCATGTTTGCAACAACCGCAACACAAGCAGTCAAAATGCAAACAAAAATAAACAACTCTGATGATGACAATGATATGCATTGTCCTTGAAGTTGATGGAGACTAGGCTCTAAGAAAAGCTGTCTCGGGTGTGGACCAATCAACTTCAAGGACAGTGCATATCATCATCATCAGAGTTTTTTTTTGCATTTTAACTGCTTGTGTTGCGGTTGTTGCAAACATGATGCCTTGTATAAAGGTGTCAGTTTTTCTACCAGTTGAAAGGGTAAAAACCTATTACTATATTTTGCCACTGGTAAAGGAGATGTCTCATAGTGTAAATAAGATGTTTATAGCCCATCGGATTCCTCCTGCAGTGTAAATCAGAGGTCGCAACCGGGTACCCGATACCCGGCTACCCGTACCCTACCTGATACCCGGCTACCCGTACCTGGCCGGGTACGGGTAGCCGGGTACCCGTTTGCGACCCTGGTGCGGCCGGGTACGGGTAGGCCGTGAGTCACTGCTGAGTCACCGTTTGTCACTCATTTCCCAACGTCTTGTCTCTTCTCACAATTCAAGTTCTTAGAATCAACCCACCCGCGCCTGCAACATGGCTTCATCCCAGAGGTCGCAATCAGGTACCCGATACCTGTACCCTACCCGTACCCGGCCGGGTACGGGTAGGGTACGGCTACTGCCGGGTACGGGTACCCGTTTGCGACCCTGGTGCGGCCGGGTACGGGTAAGGAATCAAAACCCGTTTGCGACCTCTGGTGTAAATACACACTCTGACTCTGCTGCTGGTGACGCCACCGCCACTTCGTGCGCGCAAACAGCACTCGCCCTGGCAGCATGTTAAAGGCTACACGGGGGTCGTTGCGTGTGTGTGTGTGCACCACATGGTTTGCAAATGCACTTGGGCTAAACAGTCACTGTGTACCCAAGCATGACCTCTACAGCCATCACCTGGTACCTGTTCAAATGTCGACGATGAAGGCCTGTCCAAGTTTGCAGTGTGCGTTTCACAATGTAAACACCCTCTACACTGGCGCAGCCAGTGGGGGGTGGGGTGGCACGTGCCCCCCCCCCCCCCCCAATGATCCGATCGAAATCCGTAATTTCTATCGGATAATTGGGGTTTATTCATAATAAATCGGCATTTTGCGACCCCCACTGCCACTGTGAAGCATATTATTATGTGCCAGGGACTCTATGAGATGATAGGACAATAGTCTGAGTCCATAATTGGCAATAAATAACGGCAAAGCAGTTATAAGTGACTCACAGAATTGTGTACAAGTTGCGTTTACAGCACATAACTTCCCTGAAGGCGTCAACACCTTCAGCGAGCGCGATGCCGATCACACAACGCGGTTCGAATTCGACCCTCGATCGATGGCTGCGCCATCACCGCACACGCGTCGGATAAAAAGCAAGCGACAAGTCCTTACTTACTAACAACTCCTCTATCATTTCTCATTGAAAATCCTGGCTCCGTCATTGCACCTCTACAATAGTTAGTAAAATTAAATTATCTGGTGATGCTGCTGCTGCTGCTGCGTCACCAGTGGTGGCACATTCGTCATCAACGTGGTGGCCTTTAAAAATCAAACTAAATATGACAAAAGGCCACGTTTCCCGGCAGTGTCCCTTCTTCGTGGCACAGGTGTTGCTGCGTTACGTTTCGCAGTACGGTGTTGTCCATGTATCTTGAAGGTTATATATGCAGACCTATTCTCGACACAGTCCCGTGACCTTTGTGGTGGTCCCCCCCCCCCCCCCCCCCCCGTGCATTCCCCGTAGAATTCTGTGACGGCGTTCTGTTTGCCATTGTGATGTTTGTGTGGTGCGGAGTGATGCCGCTTCCTATTGCTTTGTTACCCTTCCTTGACAAGTCACCATCCCCCCTCCTCCTCCTGTGATTGGAACGAATTGTCAAGATTGTGACGATTTGAACCAATAATATTTTTTTTTGACTCTCGTTTTAACCCTCTCATGTTTACTCCTCCTCAACTTTGGTCTGCTTTGCAGTTCTGTTAACGCTGCTTAAATGTTAATTAGCAAATGTATTTCCATGTTATTTCCGTAAATTCTAACATAATTTCTACGTCGTTTTATGCTTGTATCATGAGCATCAGAATCAATGTTACTCAATGCATCGATGCACCGTTGTTACATGAGTGCTAAGGTGGAGAGATGTTAACTACCTCGCCTTGTATACAGGAGGTCGTGGGTTCGATCCAGACCCTAACAACTGTATATTTGGAATTTGCGTGTCTCTCTTTCTCTCCCTCCCCACGATCGTGTGGATTTTTCTCAAGGTCCCCCGGTTTTTCCTTCCAAATTTAGAATCAACATGTGTTCAAGAGTATTTGGCTGCTGTACATTTCCACGTGATAAGCTACTTGGTTGAGCTATCATTTGTAAATGTACAGCAGCCAAATATTCTTGAACGCATGTTGATTCTAAATGTGGAAGGAAAAGCCGGAGGACCTCGAGAAAATTCACGCGACCGCGGGGAGGGAGAGAGAGAGAGAGAGGTCCTCCGGTTTTTCCTTCCACATTTAGAATCCACATGCGTTCAAGAGTATTTGGCTGCTGTACATTTCCTCGTGATAAGCTACTTGGTTGAGCTGTCATTTGTGACAGTCAGGTCACTTCTGAAAAAGAGCTACATCGCTCAATGGGGCCTTACCTGGTAAAATTAAAAAAAGTTTTACAACCCTGCTTTTTAGAAACGAGCGGACGCATTGGCAACGGGTATAAGGTGACACGGGACTTTCCGTCGTCGTGAACATAAAGACACGGGGACATTTATTTGCCACACTGGGGGGGGGGGGGGCGGCGGGGGTATTAATATTTCTCCCACGCGGACGCACGTGTCGTGACGGGGGTACTGCAAGATCCGACCGTGTCCGTCCAGTGGCCGAGTTGCATTGACTTGCTTTTGCTGAGCGAATACATTATAGGGTCGCACTCACTGCACACAGAGTGCTTGCCACAAATGGATCGCAATACCTCGCTGCTGAGCTCGTCAAGGAACATAAACCATCACGGGAACTCCGGTCATCCGCACAGCAGCAGCGGATTTTGGCTCGGCCATCGAACGAAGGCGGTCACCGCATCGCGCGCTTTTGTGTGCGCTTCTGCGGCCGTCTGGAACGCGCTTCCTTCCGACATTAGGAAGCGACTGGAGCTAATGCACTTTTATATCCAGATTGAAAACTCATTCTTTAAACACTAATTTTTGTGTTCAGTTACCTCCGATTGGCGCTGTTGGCTACGTACGTTGCGAAAGAAGTTCAACATACATACACGAGATGGTCACGTGGTGAACCTCACCTTCTTTGTTGGCGACGTCGTGGGTGGGAAAGGAACCCCCGTGGGTTTCCGAGTGACGTGCGGGGGGCACCATGTCACGCGAGCCTTCGCACAGCACACACCACATGCGGCAGAGACACTTTAAAGGTGTCGGTGGTAGACGACTGGGGTGCCGCAGTGGCGAGATGTTAACTACCTCGCCTGGTACACAGGAGGTCGTGGGTTCGATCCCGACCCTGACGCCTGCTGCTGTATATTTGGAGTTTGCGTGTCTCCCTCTCATCATCATCACGGTTGCAAGGAGATGTTAACTACCTCGCCTGGTTTACAGGAGGTTGTGGGTTTGATCCCGATCCCGACCCCGACGCCTGCTGTATATTTGGAGTTTGCGTGTCTCCCTCTCTCATCGTGGTCACGCGGATTTTTCTCCGCGTCTTCAAGGTTTTTTTCCTCCACATTTTGAATCGACGTATTTTAGATTATTCCACTGCTATGACTTTCCACATCATAAGCCACTTCGTTGAGCTGTAATTTTGTGGCCGGGTCGCTTCTGAAAAAGAGCTCTATAGCCCAGTTTATTTGTGGAACTGCTCGGACAGATGTTACTTTTTATAGCATCCAAGACGGGAGCTATTGATGGCTGCAGACCGATTCCATGCGTGGGCGACGCTGCCTCCCGTGCCTCCGTGTGGGAACACACGAGGCATTGTGGGGCAGATTGTTCTTCCCAAGCCAAGCTGTCATCCAATACCCGGTTATCGGTGCTCGCCTTGTTTTGCGAGAGATCAGGTGAGGGACACAGCATGACCAGAATGTATAATGACTAATTTATCATCTGAACTTGCAACGGGGGTCGCGCAGTGTTCGCCCAGTGCTTCTTTGAACACCTTACATATTTCGATTGAAAGCTTTCGTGACTGCAGGGATTCATCTTCTTGGTTCTTTCGGTAAAGTCACGTAGAATTGAAATAATAAAATAATAAAAATAAAACATAATAAAATAATTCTCACGCCCCTCCATCTCAGCTTAAATAGTCACTACAAGCCTGGGGCTTGTCATTCAGACTCTGTCTCCTCGACAGACCTGATCTCCACCTGAGGACGGCTACTTGCGTTGTGGCCGAAACGTCGTGAGAATTATTTTATTATGTTTTATTTTTATTATTTCAATTCTACGTGACTTTACCGAAAGAACCAAGAACACCTTACATATACTATGAGACATCTCCTTTACCAGTGGAAAAATATAGTAATAGGTTTTTACCCTTTCAACTGGTCATCTGGTCCAACACCAATGGAGACTAGGCTCTAAGAAAGCTGTCTCGGGTGTGGACCAATCAACTTCAAGGACAGTGCATATCATTATCAGAGTTGTTTCTTTTTGTTTGCATTTTGACTGCTTGTGTTGTGGTTATTGCAAACATGATGCCTTGTATAAAGGTGTCAGTTTTTGTACCAGTTGAAAGGGTTAAAACCTATTACCTTACATTTATTTTCACACTCTCTCTGATCTTTGTTAACCCATTCCCATGACGTAGCGTATGTCATCAGTTTTTCTTCCGACGACGTACAAATACGGAAGACGACGTACAAGTACGTCATCTTCCGACGTGAAGACGTACCAGTGAAATATTTTTCTAAAATAACGTTATCGGAACGTCTTCAGGTCGGAAGACGTACCGAGGCTCCCAACAAGGCCATGCGGGAGGGTTCGTGGCACAGTTTGGCGCCACCTATCATAGAGTGCGGTCGTGTCACTACAGTTCTCTGCGGTGAGTACGACGTGTTTGAAAACAATGGTGCTACGCCTCTCTAAGTAAAATTAACGCTCAACCGCTTTACGAGATCTGAGATTCAACGCTGAACGGGACTCCCACACCCTGCAAACCTCGTAGACGTCTCGTAACGGGAAAGGGTTAATGTCCACATGTTTCTGATTCGTATGTCGTAACGCGTAAAATATCCATTAAGTAAAAACTAACTTCCGAGCGCAAAGGGATGTTGGAAGGCAATGCGGAATCCATGCCTGTGCACGATTTCGCGTCGTCATTTAATTACCGCTGTGATGAATGTAGCCCCTGTACAGTTGGCCACGGGATTACACGTGAATGAAATGCATACAACATTGACACACATCCTCTAGATTTAGTTCTGGGCACACGCAATTCCATGCATGGATGACGCGAGTCTAAATATGATACAATTGATCAGTACATGCATTGTTACCAGAGGTCGCAATCGGGTACCCGATACCCTACCCGATACCCGGCTACCCGTACCCGGCCGGGTACGGGTACCCGTTTGCGACCCTGGTGCGGCCGGGTACGGGTAGCCGGGTAGGCCGTGAGTCACAGGTGAGTAACCGTTCGTCACTCATTTCCCAACGTCTTGTCTCTTCTCACAATTCAAGTTCCTAGAATCAACCCACCCGCGCCTGCAACATGGCTTCATCCCAGAGGTCGCAATCGGGCACCCGTATCCGTACCCTACCCGATACCCGGCCGGGTACGGGTAGGCGGGTATCGGGTAGGGTACGGGTACCCGATTGCGACCCTGGTGCGGCCGGGTATGGGTACGGGTAAGGAATCGAAACCCGTTTGCGACCTCTGACTGTTACTTGCATAAAAGGCATCTCTCGCCAGAGGTGTGTGGTGGTAGTGGTTTTTGGATGTACCTCTCCAAGTCTCGTCGCAGCCTGTAGGACCGTGTCCTGGTCCAGTGAAAATGATTTGAACCAGTGATGGGCCTCCCCTAGGTCGACTCAGCCTCAAATTAGTACCTAGTGCGGTGTGTAAACATCGCCACCGGAGAGACAAAGGCGGCCGGGCGTGGTGTTGGCCACTCCACCCCTTTGTTGTGCCGTTCCGGCCTTCATAGGGGCTGCTCGCTAACAGCACTTGCCCCAACAGTCTGGTAAGGCTATACGGGGGATCTTTGTTTTTGTCTTGTTCCTGCTGCTGACTGCTTGCTGCCTTGTTGCACCCTTTTGCTTTTTGTTGTCTACTCGACTTCCCGTTGACTTTTTTTTTCTCAGTCGAATATGGTGCCTTTTTATTCAAAGAAAAAATCCTTTGGAAATTATAAATGGTGGATCCATTTGGTTCATTTGCATTCGTTCACATTTCAAGCCCCCGGCTACTTTTTCAACACGTTGAGTATTTAAAAAAGCACTTTCAAACAAAATGGACTTCAGTGAGATCGATGCCTGGACTGAATTATTCACCATATGCGTGCGTCATGTGTGGGATGTCACATAAACACCCAGTTAACGTGCCACGTTTCGCCTAACGTTGATCCGACGGTTGTGACCACGTGCTCACGTTGGCCCAACGTTGCGTGCCTACCGGGTATTGCTCGTGTCGGTTCGAGAACCAACGCCTCGCCACGCTAATACACACTGGTCACACGCAAACTTGCCCCACTCGCGACCGTGAAACACACAGTTGCACACAAACCGCACGCCCGCGGTTCACACGCAAACACGTCTATATTTAGATCAGCCCAAAGTTCGCAATGCCAGCACCAGCTCCATGTCTAGAGCTAACACTGCCAACACCAGCCCCATGTCTAGAGTTCACACTGCCAACACCAGCCTCATGTCTAGAGTTCACAATGCCAACACCAGCCTCATGTCTAGAGTTCACAATGCCAACACCAGCCTCGTGTCTAGAGTTCACACTGTCAACACCAGCCTCATGTCTAGAGCTCACACTGCCAACACCAGCCTCATGTCTAGAGCTCACACTGCCAACACCAGCCTCATGTCTAGAGCTCACACTGCCAACACCAGCCTCATGTCTAGAGTTCACACTGCCAACACCAGCCTCATGTCTAGAGTTCACACTGCCAGCACCAGCCCCATGTCTAGAGTTCACACTGCCAACACCAGCCTCATGTCTAGAGCTCACACTGCCAACACCAGCCTCATGTCTAGAGCTCACACTGCCAACACCAGCCTCATGTCTAGAGCTCACACTGCCAACACCAGCCTCATGTCTAAAGTTCACACTGCCAACACCAGCCTCATGTCTAGAGTTCACACTGCCAACACCAGCCTCATGTCTAGAGCTCACACTGCCAACACCAGCCTCATGTCTAGAGCTCACACTGCCAACACCAGCCTCATGTCTAGAGCTCACACTGCCAACACCAGCCCCATGTCTAGAGTTCACACTGCCAACACCAGCCTCATGTCTAGAGTTCACACTGCCAACACCAGCCTCATGTCTAGAGTTCACACTGCCAACACCAGCCTCATGTCTAGAGTTCACACTGCCAACACCAGCCTCATGTCTAGAGCTCACACTGCCAACACCAGCCTCATGTCTAGAGTTCACACTGCCAACACCAGCCTCGTGTCTAGAGCTCACACTGCCAACACCAGCCTCATGTCTAGAGCTCACACTGCCAGCACCAGCCTCGTGTCTAGAGCTCACACTGCCAACACCAGCCTCATGTCTAGAGTTCACACTGCCAGCACCAGCCCCATGTCTAGAGTTCACACTGCCAACACCAGCCTCATGTCTAGAGCTCACACTGCCAACACCAGCCTCATGTCTAGAGTTCACACTGCCAACACCAGCCTCATGTCTAGAGTTCACACTGCCAGCACCAGCCTCATGTCTAGAGTTCACACTGCCAGCACCAGCCTCATGTCTAGAGTTCACACTGCCAGCACCAGCCTCGTGTCTAGAGTTCACACTGCCAACACCAGCCTCATGTCTAGAGTTCACACTGCCAACACCAGCCTCATGTCTAGAGTTCACACTGCCAGCACCAGCCTCATGTCTAGAGCTCACACTGCCAGCACCAGCCTCATGTCTAGAGCTCACACTGCCAACACCAGCCTCATGTCTAGAGTTCACACTGCCAGCACCAGCCCCATGTCTAGAGTTCACACTGCCAACACCAGCCTCATGTCTAGAGCTCACACTGCCAACACCAGCCTCATGTCTAGAGTTCACACTGCCAACACCAGCCTCATGTCTAGAGCTCACACTGCCAACACCAGCCTCATGTCTAGAGTTCACACTGCCAACACCAGCCTCATGTCTAGAGCTCACACTGCCAACACCAGCCTCATGTCTAGAGCTCACACTGCCAGCACCAGCCCCATGTCTAGAGCTCACACTGCCAGCACCAGCCTCATGTCTAGAGCTCACACTGCCAACACCAGCCTCGTGTCTAGAGTTCACACTGCCAACACCAGCCTCGTGTCTAGAGTTCACACTGCCAGCACCAGCCCCATGTCTAGAGCTAACACTGCCAGCACCAGCCCCATGTCTAGAGTTCACACTGCCAACACCAGCCTCGTGTCTAGAGTTCACACTGCCAACACCAGCCTCGTGTCTAGAGTTCACACTGCCAGCACCAGCCTCATGTCTAGAGTTCACACTGCCAACACCAGCCTCATGTCTAGAGTTCACACTGCCAACACCAGCCCCATGTCTAGAGTTCACACTGCCAACACCAGCCTCTTGTCTAGAGTTCACACTGCCAACACCAGCCTCGTGTCTAGAGTTCACACTGCCAACACCAGCCTCATGTCTAGAGCTCACACTGCCAACACCAGCCCCATGTCTAGAGTTCACACTGCCAGCGCCAGCCCCACCAGGGCACCACCAAATGTGCGATGTACACGTTTTCTCCCGAACTAACGCCAGTCGGTGAATCTTGTGCGTTGACCGTCCAACAAATCCGACGGACACGGAAATGGTGAATCTGAAACACAAATCTTTTCCCCCCTCCCGTGATCTCGCGTACGTGTGTACGCCCGTACGTTGAACTTCTTTTGCACCTCGCGCAGCCAACCGCGCTAATCGGAGGTGCACTCCTCCCAAATGTTTTCGACTCATCCCAACGTCTCATTTTTCTGTCCGTCTTCTCCCCTTCGTCGACATCCATTCCTTTAATACAGGGGTCCACAACCCCCGGGTCGTGGACCGGTACCGGTCCGTGGCCTGTTAGGAACCGGGCCACACAGCAGCAGGAGGTGAGCGGTGGGCGAGCGGTGGGCGAGCGGTGGGCGAGCGAAGCTTCACCATATGTATTGACAGACGAAGCTTCATCATCTGCATTGACAGCCGCTCACCATCGCTCGCATTACCGTATGAGCTATGCCTCCTGTCAGATCAGCTGCGGCATGAGATTCTCATAGGAGCGCGAACCCTGCTGTCAACTGCGCACACGAGGGATCTCGGTTGCGCGCTCCTTATGACAAGTCAGAATCCGACACTTTTTTTAGTCCGCGCGTGGCTCGCCCCCATTATTTAATTTCCCACTTCTGTCCGCGCCTCTTTCCCGCACTGCGCACTTCTCTCAGTCACGGTTTTGGTAAGCCCACAAGCTCTAACCCCTAGTAGCCACAATGAGTAGAAAATAACGTCGCTAGAGAGCTTCTGTGAAGAGGGCGAAAGACCCAATGATGAACCCCCCCCCCCCCCTGGTCCGTGAAAAAATTGTCTTCCACGAAACCGGTCCCTGGTGCCAACAATTTTGGAGACCGCTGCTTTAATAGTTTTTCTCTCTTCCCCCACCCCCCGTCTCTCATCTGACATCGGAGATGTCCCGCGCAACTCCATTTCAGTTTTTTTCTTGACTTTGTAAATGCCACTGTGATACCCCGTGTCTAATTCTCAATTCTTCTATTTTCTTTGTGACAGAAAATCCCGTGAAATACTTGCTAAGTGAAGATGTGCGTATATGTGTGTAGGGGAAGGAATGTGTTTTTTTGCGAGACGCTTATTAATCGGTCGCAGTCGTACGCTACGAACCGTATAAATTACGCAACGACTATAGTTTATAAATCGGAAGAGGGCAAGGCGGATTTCGTGACAAAGCGAGTGTGCGTGTGGAGCGTGTTACTCAGGCGCTGCTGAAGGCAAAGTTGAACAGAGCAAGCGGCGACCATCGTACACTGTGGCTCTTGCCGCTCTGGGAAGCAATGTAACTCGCTCCGAACACACAACACGCACTGAACCCCACATGCACCTCGTGTACACGTGGAAGATCAAAGACTTTCCTGTGTTGCGACCTAAGGCTGCGAACTTCCCAAACGATGGAGTCGTGCCGCATTATATCTTGGCACCGCTCGGACCGTGAGCTTTGAAGGCGGTGGGTGAGTGAATCTGCAACTCGCCGGCTCTCGGACAAAGCAATTGCAATGTCGCACACAACTTACAACCGGTTCAATCAATCTGAATCTTTTTACCTCCTCAATAAAGCGGGCATCGGTGCGCATTGCCGCGGAACGGGAACGGTACCGGGGAGAGGCATGAGAGAAGCAGCATCGCGAATGAAAACGGAAACCAAACCCATCACGCCCTCGACAGCTGAACACCCGTTGCTCGCAAAGTCGTACGAAGGAAGAAGGATCGCAAACAGGTGTCGAGTAGCGAAAGTCTACTTACCCATTCGCAGCTTTTGTCTTTTTGTTTTCTTGGGCCGTGCGACGTTCGTTCGGGTGCCGAGTGCCGAAGCTGGCTAAACCGAGCGTGTGTGTGCTGGGAAAGTGATGAGCTGGCTTTTGATCAAAGTTCAGTCTGGTTATTCATTTAGCCGTTGAGGTACCCGCGGTGGACTTTTTCTTTTCGGTGGGAGTTGTTTGTCCGCGCGCGTGAGAGCGTGCGCGCGAGAGCGCTGATGCGGCTGTTTTCTGCATCGCCCTTTGGATCGGGCCGCCCGAATTCGATTGCCAGCCGCGGATAACATCGGTGGCGAGAGATATCCAAAGTGGGCTGGGACCGCCGTAGATTGACTCGGGCCTTAAATGGGCCTCCAGTGAGGTGTTGCAAACTCCGGCACCGGCGCTGGCCACATCGTGCCCTTCTTACGCTTGCTTTCCGGCCTTTAGGGGTGCTCGCAAACAGCACTCGACCCAACCGTATGGGGGGGGGAGGGTCATTGTACCGTGTGTAAGAGAGAGACGGGTGCATTCAAAGCGTGTGTGTACGTGTGCGTGCATAATTAGCGGCTTGACATAACGGGTGTGAAAACGCGTTCGGGCCTGTGCGTGCGAGTTCGCGCCAGCTCGTACCCACGTGCAGACTTGTCTTAGGTTCGCACGTCTGACTTAGGTTCGCACATCCGAGTCGATTTTGTTTGGAGGTGGCGGCAACTGGAGAGACTGGGTCGTGCGTCATTTTAATAACCCCTTTCCCGTTCCGATGACGTGCGTGTACGTCATCGGTTTGCCTTTCGAATGGGAAGTGAAAGGCCCACGTGGGAGGGGCGTGTGGCACAGCTTTGGCGCCAGCTATCGTAGAGTGCGTTCGTGTCGCTACGGTTCCCCGCGGCGAGTACGGTGTCTTTTAAAAACGGCGGCGCTACGCCTCTCTAAATAAAATGAACGCCGATTCGCTTGCGCATTCCGAGATTCGGCGGCGACCGGGACACTGCACCCTGCAAACTTGCAGACGTTTCGGAACGGGAACAGGTTTCAGAGTGACCTGAAGCAGCGTACTCCCTCCAGCAAGCGTGCTCGCAACCACGCGGATGTACGATATGCATCCTCGTGTGCATTTCGCACGCTAGCTGTAAAGTAGTTTAGCAGGCTTAACAAGGTGAAGGTGCAGCCCTGCAACTGCATGGCTCGCGCCACTGCTGCCAGAAGGCACTCTCCACGAGCAGGAGCTCCAGAGAGCCCCTTGGAGGCTTTTTTTGTTTCGTTGGCCTACTCTTCTAAACGTCTTGGAAGAGGTAGGGAGGAACCCCCACACTTTAGCCCACTCCCCACGCGACGTGCCAGTCGATTGGCAAGGGCGGAGAGGCACAGGCACTTGAGAGAGAGAGAGATTTGCCTGACCGTTGTCTCGGCTGCCACGCCGGGAGATCGAATGTAACCGGCGCGACCTCTTGGAGTCCAGCGTCGCTTCGTCGTCACACCGTGGGCAGCATCCCCACTCGGAGGAGTGCTCGTGCCACTCGGAGGAGTGCTCGTGTTTAGCGCCCGTCCGTGGTGACCCGGCGGCGGTGGCGGTGCCGGCGGCCTTTTGCCTGTGACGTCTCTCTCTTCTGCTCGTGGTGTTTTTCTCTTCTAGGTGCTGCCCAGGCTGGGCAACGTCGCGTCGGCGAGATGCCTGAGTTCGTCGTTCAAGGTGCGTGGTGTGTGCGTTTTCAGCCGATTTTGAACTTTTTTTTGTGTCACTTGTGGCCCGTGCGTATTTTTTTAATGTTAAATTTTTTTCTCTCGTCCGATTTTCCTTGGATTTGTATCCAGTTGTAACTATTACCCATTCGCATTGAAAAGATGAAGAAAGTTGCACGCGGCGCTTTTAAACGGCGTCTCGTGTCGCAGGTTCAACCCCGGCAGACTTGTTGGGGCAGGTTAGAGGCAGCTTCGTTGGCAGTGACGCGCGCCCAGCCAGTTTGACCGACGGGCACGGCAAAATGTAAAACTACAAACTCTTTTTAGTTTTAACCGGGTAAGGCCCACCACTGAGCTGCAACATAGCCCTTTTCGAAGCGACCTGGCTATCACAAATGATCGCTCAAACGAAGTGGGCTTATCGTGTGGAAATTTGTAGCAGCCCAAATAGTCTGAACGCGTGCTGACGTGATTCTAAATGTGGAGGGAAAAACCGCAGGACCCGGCGAAAAATCCACACGACCACGGGGAGTGACACGCAAACTCCAAATATACAGCAGCAGGTGTCAGGGTCGGGATCGAACCCAGGCCCTCCTGCATACCAGGCGAGGTAGTTAACATCTCCTAGCCACCGTGATGATGATAGAGAGAGAGACACGCAAACTCCAAATATACAGCAGCAGGCGTCAGGGTCGGGATCGAACCCAGGCCCTCCTGCATACCAGGCGAGGTAGTTAACATCTCCTAGCCACCGTGATGATGATGAGAGAGAGAGACACGCAAACTCCAAATATACAGCAGCAGGCGTCAGGGTCGGGATCGAACCCAGGCCCTCCTGCATACCAGGCGAGGTAGTTAACATATCCTAGCCACCGTGATGATGATGAGAGAGAAAGACACGCAAACTCCAAATATACAGCAGCAGGCGTCAGGGTCGGGATCGAACCCAGGCCCTCCTGCATACCAGGCGAGGTAGTTAACATATTGCCACAGTGGCGTCCCCACACACTGACCCCTCCCTCCCTTGCAATGCGATGATGATGATGATGATCTTCTTTGGTTCTTTCGGTAAAGTCACGTAGAATGGAAATAATAAAGTAATACAAATTAAACATAATAAAATAATAATATAAAAAAAATGTAAATTCTGTTTTCTTTTTATTATTTTATTATTTCCATTCTACGTGACTTTACCGAAAGAACCAAGAAGATGAATCCCTGCAGTCACGAAAGCTTTAAATCGAGCTGATGATGATGATGATGATTTTTATTTAAGATCCCTTTTACGTGTCGTTTGTACTGCCTTGCCCCCCAAACCCCCCACCGTCTACTTTGTTCCGTTAGCCTGCAGGCGACATCTGCGTAGGATTGTAATACGTCGTCAAAAATCATGTTTTAGTTTTACACGCTTGCCATTCGATGCACGTGTTGTGAGCGTGAGCATCGATTTTTTTTTCTTACCCTACGGTATAATGCGCACATTTCGAGGGTGCAATCCTAATCTGAAATGCAATCCCTCTCTTTAAGTTATCGTCAATTCTCGCTTCAGTCTTTGAGATGCGCCAACATTTAGACACAAAAAAACCTCAAAAACGTGAAGTGTAATTTTATTTTTCGATTTAAAGCTTTCGTGACTGCAGGGATTCATCTTCTTGGTTCTTTCGGTAAAGTCACGTAGAAGGGAAGTAATAAAATAAGCACGGCTGCTTGCGTTGTGGCCGAAACGTCGTGAGAATTATTTATTATGTTTTATTTTTATTATTTTATTATTTCCCTTCTACGTGACTTTACCGAAAGAACCAAGAAGATGTATTTTTATTGTAGAACCCACAGCTGACTCTGCGAGGTACTGGGCCGCCACGATGGCGGGATGTTAACTACCTCACCTGGTATGCAGGAGGTCACGGGTGTTGACGCCTGCCGTATACTTTGCACCTCCCGATTCAGCACGGTTGGCTACGTGGGGTGCGAAAGAAGTTCTGCGCACGTACATAGGGGGGTGCGTGCGTGCCGGCTCCCTCCTTTAGGCGTCCGACTTAACAAGTGAGAGTGACGAAGCACGGCGCCACGAAGCTGGACGTGGACAAGGCTGGTGTTCGGGAAGACGTTCACGGGACCACATGTTCTGCGTGGAGTGGACCGCGGGTGGCGGCTGGCAGACTCCTCGCATCCAGGCCGTTCCAGAACCTGTCGCTGCACCCTGCCTCGTCCTCCCTCCACTACTCCATAGAGGTGACGGGCGGTGGGAGGGGGGGTCGTTGACATGGATTCTATAATAAAGTTGTTGTTGTTGTTGGGTTTGATGGCGTTAAATATAATGTGTCGTGAAACCCGCCGCACGCGGCCGATCCGTGAGTTCGTCGCGTAAACGAAACGTGAGTGAACCCAAACGGGAGTTGAACCTGGAGCGTTGGCAATTGGAGTACGACGCTTGCTCAGGCGATGGCCAGAGTTGAGGAGGAGTAGAAGAAGTCCTCTCGTTTCGGTCTCGAATAGAGGGGCGTAAATGTGACGTCATCACGGTGAGCCTATCAGGTGCGAAGACCAGAGGGGGGCGGGGGTCAACGTACCCGTCGTGTAAGTAACAGTGGGTCATGTTAATCTGAGAATATGCCACACACATCATTGGTTGGGTCCTTCACCGTTCATCGGCATACGTAAATGTACGTACATTACGTCGATCTGAGAGGTGTGCAGAGACTGTGCAGTTGGATCCTGTGCTCGTCCGTTGCGGTTCATCGTGCCGATTCAGCCGTCCGCCGCCGTGGTTAAGTGTCGCCGCTTCATTGCCGTCTCCCGTGCAGCTGTTTGAGGGCATGAAGGCGTTTCGTGGCGTGGACAACAAGGTGCGGATGTTCCGGCCGATGCTCAACATGGAGCGGATGCACCGCACGGCGCTGAGAGCCAGCTTGCCCGTACGTACGCACGCACGCACCGAGGTCTCCCCCCCCCCCCCTTCCGCCGCTAGTCCACTCCCTCCCCGCCATGTCCGCTTCCCCCGTGCGCCCCCTTTGTACGGAGATTCTCCGGCGGATGACACCGTGTCTCCGTCGCACGTCTGTCCTGACCACGTAAAGAAAAATCCTTTAAATTTCGATTTAAAGCTTTCGTGACCGCAGGGATTCATCTTCTTGGTTCTTTCCGTAAAGTCACGTAGAAGGGAAGTAATAAAATATTAAAAATTAACATAATAAAATAATTCTCACGACGTTTCGGCCACAACGCAAGCAGCCGTCCTCAGGTGAAAACCAGGTCTGTCGAGGCGACGGCTGCTTGCGTTGTGGCCGAAACGTCGTGAGAATTATTTTATTATGTTTTATTTTTATTATTTTATTATTTCCCTTCTACGTGACTTTACCGAAAGAACCAAGAAGAAGAAATATCCTTTTTTACTTTTACCTAAAACTAAACTATAAACAATTTTTTTTTACCACAGTATCTAGATCTTTTTCAGCAGCGACCTGAGCCACAGACGCGAGCTCAACAAAGTGGCTCGTCACGTGGAGATGTGGAGCACACAAATCCTCTGAACGCGTGACGTTGATTCTAAATGTGGAGGGTTACCGCGTGGATGTTATTTTATATTGGCAGATTCGTACACGATTATTCGCCAATGACTCTCACGTAAGATATAATTTCCCACGTTCCTAAATCAACTCTCGCGTCGTACGCCCCCCCCCTTCCTTCCCGCACAGAGCTTTGACACGGCCGAGTTGTGCGAATGCATTCGTAAGCTGGTGGAGGTGGACAAGGACTGGGTTCCCCACTCGACCAAGGCCAGCCTCTACCTCCGCCCGACCTTCATTAGCACAGAGGTACGAGTCGGCGGCGGTGGCGGCGCATTATCGGCCTGCGAGGGGATCTCCCGCAGCGGGGCAACGGTTCGACGCGCAAACCTACACCGTGCGCGCGTGTGTGTGCGCGCATGTGTGTGCGTGCGCGTGTGTGTGCGTGCGTGTCTTTTTTAAATCCTTTATATTAAGTTCGCTCGCTTGCTTGCTTGTGTGCTTGCTCGTTGTGCGTGACAATTAATTTTCGTGAAAATTTTTTTCCAAAATTTTCCACTGTTTAGGGAATTTTTTAACAATATTTA